AATGACTTATTACCAGAAACAATAATCAAAGTGGTGGCCAATTAGGGTGGTGTAGGATTAACGTTATACTGATCAAGCATTAACGTTAACTGCAAAGGAAGTCTGGAAAAGGAACAGTTAATGATTTCACTTCATTTAAACTAGTTACAATTAATTTTTCATGTCATTTAGACTTGTGTTGTTTTGATTCATACGTCTCTAAGTTTTCGATAGACAAAGTCAATTTCCTGCAATAAAATAATAGTGCTACTCCAAGATGAGAATGTTAAAGCTCTATTCCTTCTCTAATGAAACAAATTTCAGTTGCCTATTTTTCTTCTGCTGTACAATCTGTTTTGAGATATCATTTACAAAATATGACCGTTTCATGTCTCAATAAGCAAGAATCTGTTGATTTCCACTTTCTTGGTGAAAGGAAGAAGTTGAACAGCAACATGAAGGAATTGAGAGGAGCAATGCTTTGTGAAGATCTCCAGCAGTTACACCTTTCTTGATCAGTGACATGATGTAGTCCATGAACGCCGAATCACAGGGTAATGTAATAGGACCACCACTTGGTAGTCCAAACTCTTCTTCGGACATGCTTAAAAGATGCCTAATGACCTCATTTTCAAGGTAAACTAAGGGAATGACAAAACGTGCTTGATCATCTGTATATACTACAAAATGACCCTTTTCAACTATAGAGGATGAGGATGTACTGCAACTGTATTTATCACTTCCATTTCTTGGAAGTGAAATCCGCTTCCTCTGCTTGACCGCAAACTTTTGCCATCTCCTTGCCATTTTGATGAGCTTCTTAGTACTGACCATTGCCTTTCTTTCCATTTTTCTTTTTCTTGAAAGTCTGGAAGCAAGAAAGTAAACAAGAAATTTAGAAACTTTTGATGGCTGAATAGATAATGCTTTTACTTGATGATGAAAAATGTCCATAGAAAAGGGGGTTATTTATACAAGAGGTTGTAGACAGGCTTTGAGTTGGAGCTGAAGTTGCTACTAACAACAAAAGGCAAAGCCATGTGCTGATGCCTGTTGGCTATGTTGATATGAGGCCTTAAATTGGTGGATGAAGCTAAGTTTCCTCTTTTTCTTACTTTGATCGACAACCGGGGCCTATTAGTTACGACATCAGCTCATACTTGGTACTTCTCACCAATGCCAATAATTTGAAACAATCAGATGAGCTATTGCAGGTTAGAAGCAAAACCATGTGCTTCTCCCTTCTTGGTCATGTAGATAGGGGACCTTTAAATTGCCATCTTGGCTGGTTTTGCTATAAGAACAAATGCATTAAAGAAGTGCTTTTCAAGGAGTTAGAAGGCAATACCATGTGATACTAAGTCATCAAATTTATCCATTCTTGTGGATGTTATTTTAAGGGTGTCTTTTTCTGCTCCAAATCATAACAAGCAGTAGGGCCTAGTGTTGTTGTTCAACAAAATTTATTGTCTAAGTTATTTGACAATAACACTGTAGGCAAAACCATGTGAAACTTCATGTGCCATTGTCTCTCACCAGTAGCCACCAATTTCTCTAAACCACTAAACATTTGGATATGGAAATTGTCATAAACTTATTATATATAATCAGACCCAAACATTTCAGCAGAACACAAGTACCCTGACATTCAAAGAAACTTCCATTTTTGTGCAATTCTCAAAGTTCTTGTTCTTTATTTTCCTTCATCATTTACAGTTACATCATATTCCTTGAGACAATGGGTATCAAAGTGACTCCATTTATTCAGGCTAATCGAATCCTAAGGAGGTCTTCAACAACTGGAGGTGTTCCAAAAGGACATTGCGCAGTTTATGTAGGAGAGAGCCAGAAGAAGCGATTCGTCATGCCAATATCATACCTGAGCCAGCCTTTATTTCAAGACTTGTTAGCTCAAGCTGAGGAAGAGTTTGGATTTGATCATTCAATGGGTGGTCTCACAATATCTTGCAAAGAGGATGTGTTCATTGATCTCACCTCTCGCTTGAGGAGATTATGAGTAGGACCATGGTGCAGATTCTTCTGCCCATGAAATTTTGTAAAGCAACAGTTTTAGAAATGAGAAAGATGAGAGATAGTAGGGATGTCACTTCCTTTTAAGTCGTACTTGACAAAGAGGGAAAACAATTCCTTGTTTTTTCTTAACCATTTTGTATAGTAGTAGTAGAAAACAAGGATTTTCTGCTTGTAAAGTTAGTTAAAATGACTAACCTCCTGTCAAATGGATATAGCCAATTTTTATATATGCAAATTTTTTCAAGTCACTTGATTAGAAGACTCAATACTTTTATATGTTCATGTTTCCTAATTCAGTAGACTGATGTGCCTGACATTTTGCACAATTATGCTGCTGACTCTATTGACACCAGCAATTAAGTACTACTATCACTATTTACAGCTCTCCGACCTACTTTGTGTGGTTGTATGATAAAATTCTTATATTTACATTCTCCAGATCTCCAGATATATAATAAATCTGAACATGCTTCTGAGCAGATGAACTCCACCTCTTGTCCAGTGGAAGCGAAAACGAGGTATTAAATCACATGATTGTGAGTGCAGTGTGAGAAAAGGGCATGTTCAGCTTAGTTTCTTGACTTGAATATCTGGAAGCTAGGGGAAGTGCAGAATTTGATGCTTTAAGCTAATTGAAAATACACATGTAAATATCTTTGATATATTTGTGACCATGTTGCCATCTCATTAGAGTTGGGCTCTGTTATTATGACCTGTTACTAGAAATAAGAACTGAAGTGGTAGCCCTGTTAGTGTCCTATAGGAGGAATCACTGAGCTTTATTATTACACTCTAAAATGGTTGCTGTAATTTGCAGCTTCCTTTTCTATATAGATTGATCCAGTATGAAATTTAACCGGAAAGAAAGTCCGCAATGTCACGACCCATTTTCTGAATAAGCCGGGACCGGCACTCGATCACTAAACATGACCGAGCGGACCACCTCTGCTTATCAAATCTATTATAACCTCAAACTTTATATGCCACAAGGCACTACTGTAACCAAATACTTTTAAATAATTTAAATATCTAAAATAAGCCAATTTCAAAATTTTATTCGTAGTAACCAATAAAATGCTGCTAAGTTATTATCAAAAACATCTGAATCTTAACCCAACGACTATGTCTATGAAGCCTCTACTGATAAACTGACGCAATGCTCAGGACATGAGATTTCCGGTCCAGTTCTCTAAGTAACAAAGAAATAACTAAATAAAGATGATTCTAAGGAATACTCCACGAACAAAAGCGGAGCTCACCAATAGCACTGGAAGAGAAGGAAGTCCTAACTCATAGCCTGCTCGCCTGCAAATCCGGTTCCTACGTTGTACCACAGACCAACGTAGGTTCCCAAAAGAGAACGTCAGTACCATCCATTGTACTCAGTGAGTCTCAACAACATGGGGCGAAACTTTAATAACATATACATTATGAGCAAAGGTTCTAAATGCATGTAAAATATAAAGCTTATAAGAATAATTCTAAAATAATTGCATAATAGCAGTTCATGAATATTCTAAAAGAAATTCTTTTCTTTTTCTTACTTATAAAAAAAATACTTCACTTTATACTTTGGGAGTTCCAACTATCCTGACTTAATTCTGTCTCAGTCACCGTGTGATCGGCACGAGTTCGATCCCAACCTGATCGAATAGGCTCAATCCACGAGGTGTCACTCGCTTCATGGTTCTCAGTGCTCATGTCTCATACCTTAGCATGGCTAAGTAAGTTCTCAGCAACGAGACTCTCGGCTCGTGTGCTCCCTACTTGGCACAAGTAGTTTCAGGAAGTCAACGCCTTGGTCAGGACCCTAGGCCTGGACGATGACCCCTTCTCAGAATAAAGGATATTCCCAAAAAATATCTTTTTTTTCTAAAATTTCTTCTTGTGACTTTTCAAGTCTAAATCTTTTATACATACTTATACTGGTATCCTTAAATGTAAGGCATGACATAAGAATGAAATAAACATTCAAAAGTATTTATAAAGGTTCTTGATACTTCATGAATTTTCAACATGAAAATGGTATATAAGAATAACATAAAAATCTGAAATTTATGCACATATATCCAAATAATCACCTAAACTTTAGCTAGAAAATAATTCTAAGCTAATAGGTACTTACTACTCCCATTAAGTATATATTAACTCTTTTATGCAATTCATCAAACACTTTGTGTGCGTGCTTTTGTGAGTTAAACCACTTTAGTAGAGGGTTATATCAACTCACCTCAATACTTCTTGAGCCAATACGTAGACCCCAGTCCAATTTATACCCGTCAAACAATTGATTCTACAACAACCAGTGCATTTTAATTAATTTCAAAGTTTCACACCTAAACATGGGATTTACTGTTGATACAGAGAAAGAAGGGAATTAACTATTCAATTCTTATCTATTACTTACTGTAGGGTAATTGAGAATAGGGAATTTTATATACCTGAGTTCAAGAATAAGTGAGTTATGAAGAACCCTAGAATTTTTCGAGCAATTTCTGGCTGCCTCTGTTCCTATCCGTGCGTCTGTGTTTCTGTGTTCTCCGCCTCCTTTTTTTTTGACTTAACTAATAATTAATGACTCACTTTTAATAATTAATAATATTAAAATAATTAATATTTCCCTAATTGTATATCCAATTATTTAAGATTGTGTGTATATATATATATTCACTATAGGCAAGAAAAATAATAATAATAATAATAATTTAATTCTATAATTAGCGTATCTTGAAACTTTTATAAATTTGAGGAGTGTTACACGCAAGAGGAACACTCCATGGTCGTTTGGTTACCGGGATAAGAATATTAATCCCATGGTTGGTTGTCGGTATTAGCTAATACTGGTATAAATTTTATACCAAAATGGTGGTATTAGTTATCCCATATAGATAATCCCTTGCGTTGGTGGGATCATATGTCTGTAAATGTAAGTTTCAATGGACAAAGTTGATTGGCTGCAATAGAATAATAGTGCTACTCCAAGATGAGAATGTTAAAGCTTCTCAATTGTCAAATTGCAAAGGAGTTATAGATCTGGTTAATTTCAATCTATTCCATCTGTAATAGTACAAGCTCTCAGTTGCCTATTGTTTACTGCTATACAATCTATTTTGAGCTGTCATTTACAAAAAGAGTCTCTCATGACTCAATAAACAAGAATATGTTGATTTCCACTTTCTTGGTGAATAGAAGAAGTTGAACAGCAACATGTTGGAATTGAGAGGAGCAATGCTTTGTGAAGATCTCCAGCGGCTACACCTTTCTTGATTAGTGAAATGATGTAGTCCATGAACGCCGAATCACAGGGTAATGTAATAGGGCCACCACTTGGTAGTCCAAACTCTTCTTCGGATATGTTTAACAGTTGCATAATGACCTCGTTTTCAAGATAAGCCAAAGGAATAACGAAGCGCCTTTGATCAATTGTATAGACTACAAAATGGCCTTTTCCGGCAATAGAGGATGAAGATGTACTACAACTGTCTGCATCACTACCATTTCCTGGAAGTGAAATCCTCTTCCTCTGCTTGACCACGAACTTTTGCCATTTCCTTGCCATTTTGATGAGCTTCTTAGTACTGACCATTGTCTTTCTTTCCATTTTTCTTTTTCTTGAAAGTTAGGAAGCAAGAAAGTAAACAAGAAATTTAGAACCTTTTGATGGCTGAATAGATAATGCTTTTAATTGATGATGAAAAATGTCCATAGAAAAGGGGGTTATTTATACAAGAGGTTGTAGACAGGCTTTGTAGTTGGAGCTGAAGTTTTGCTACTAACAACCAAAGGCAAAGCCATGTGCTGATGCCTGTTGGCCATGTTGATTTGGGGCCTTAAATTTGTGGATGAAGCTAAGTTTCTTCTTTTCTTTAATTTGATCGACAACCGGGGCCTATTAGTAATGATATTAGCTCATACTTGGTTACTTCTCACCAATGCCAATAATTTGAAACCACTAGATGAGGAATTGCAGGTTAGAAGCAAAACCATGTGCTTCTCCCTTCTTGGTCATGTAGATCGGAGACCTTTGAATTGTCATCTTGGCTAGTTTTGCTATAATTACAAATGCATTAAAGCTGAGTTTTAGAGGAGGGACACTGGAGAATAGTTTAGGTTAATAGGAGTAAGAGAAACCTGCTGGCTGCTGTTATCCACAAATATGGCCTAAAATTCTAAGTGCTTGTCAAGGAGTTAGAAGGCAATACCATGTGATACTAAATCATCAACTTCATCCATTCTTGTGGCTTTTATTTTAAGGGTGTCTTCTGCCATATTAGAGGTGGCAAAATGGTTAAAAGAAAACAGTTATCCATTAAAAAATAGGTTGGATAATGAACTTTTTAAAAACGGGTTGAATATGGATAAAAACCATATTATCTACTTAGAAAATGGTTAACCAAATGGATAACCAATGGATAACTAATGTGTTTAACTTTTACATTTGTAAAGCCTCAAATTGGAGGTTCCTCAAGTTTGAGAGACTAGGAATTCTCCCATAAGTGATCATATTCAAGAAGCCATGGATAAAATGGATATCCATATTATCCGCCGGATAACCCATTTTTTAGCTGTCTCAAATACTGGTCGGGTCGAATAATTTATTTGTTTTTTGAATTACCCGTTTTTAACCCGCTCATATCCGATCCGCCCATTTGCCACCCCTAGTCCATATCATGAGAAGCATGGGGCCTAGTGTTGTTCTTCAACAAATTCATGGACTGAATACTTTGAAAATAACAGAGTAAGCAAAACCATGTGAAACTTCATGTGCCATTGTCTATCACTAGTTGAGTATGAAACTTGCCATTAACTTATATATATATATACTCGGACAACAAAGGATTTGAGCAAAACACAAGTATCCAGATTACAAATAAAAACTTCCATTTTCTGTACAATTCTCAAATTCTGGTTCTTTCTTTTCCTTCACCATTTAGAGTTACCAAATACTCCTTGAGACAATGGGTATTAAAATGAATCCATTTATTCAGGCTAATCGAATTCTAAGGAGGTCGACAACATGTGGACGTGTTCCAAAAGGACATTGTGCAGTATATGTAGGAGTGAGACAAAAGAAATGATTCGTTGTGCCAGTATCATACTTGAGCCAGCCTTTATTCCAAAACTTGTTAGCTCAAGCTGAAGAAGAGTTTGGATTTGATCATTCAATGGGCGGTCTCACAATACCTATCAAAGAGGACGTGTTCATTGATCTCACTTCCCGTTTGAGGAGATCATGAGTAGGACCGTGGTGCAAATTCTTTTGCCTATGAAATTTTGTAAAGAAGTAGGACTAGACATGAGAAAGAGGAGATTGTAGAGTTCATTGTATAGTTTAGAACCACAAGAACCTTTGGATGGAACATTTCCCATGTAAAATTTATGACTAGACAACTCTTATTGTTTCACAGTCTTACAGTTTTTCAGTTTTTACATATTTAGTCAGCTTTATAGCCTGCTGTTTTTCATTCTTATTTCTTTCTATCAAACAAGTAAATGGACTTTAAGTGCTGAAAGAAATGTGTAAACAAGCAGAGAACGCGCAGGATATATGAATCATCATTGATTATTGAGTTTGTCCTTGAAAGAATCGAGTAACACGTGTAACGACAGAAAAAAAACACAGAAAAACTGCACAAGTATATGACTGACTATACAAATTCTTGTCCTAAGTGAATTGCCACTCTCTGCCCCTAACTTCAGTATATCAGGTCCATGCCAAATTCAGAATCACAAGGCACTAATGATGTCGCATAAAGACCATACTCAAAGCTGTTCTGTGCTCTTGGTGGTGCAAGTGAAGTGCAACAAGCCTCACACACAAACAACGGTGGCACAACCTCAGAATCTTCGATCCCACAGCAGCGAGTGTGCTGCCATATCTCACATATATCACACGAAACCATCCTTTCACCATCATCGTCTCGAGCCCCACATCTACAATTCACTGTCCAATTATCAGCCCCTCCTTCATTTTTCAACTCACTTTCCAAATCCAACCCGAAACCCCTCACCCAAAGTTCTGAGCCTGACTCTATAATGCCAAAGAGCACTTCACAATCTTCCATTGTTTCCATCCCTACAATGTCCGTTACCATAAAATTGTCCATAATGCAATATGTGTCCCTCATTGCAGACTCAATAGCTGTTTTTAAATCACCAATTGTCGAATGTAGAGGAACTTCAACCATCTCTCCCGGGGGATATCCCTTTCTAAGTACAGCTTCCAAACCACTAGAACTTGGCAAAATGCAGCAGATGAACCTCAACAATATGTCATCTGGATCATCCCTAAATGGCCATTCCTTCACAAAATGCTTACTATCCAAAACTGTCCTAACAGCTAGCTTTAGCACATTAGATTCTGCAAAGCTCAATAGCAGATTATTATACAAGCATAAAACATCACTGTAAACATCAGTTCCAGGATTAACAGCATAGTTCTGAACTGGCTCAGGGAGCTTTTCTTGTTCAGACTGATCACAATTCCGAAGCTCCTGAATCGTGTACTCCAACACCCTAGTAGCTCGATTCACTGCACGACGAACTACATAGCCTCCAACAATCACATTATTCATCGATTTCAGAACATAATCAATCAACCCCGTATCGCCAATGTGGAGACGAGCAGCATCACGTGCCTCCTGCCTACTCATACCACAACTCCCAAATCTGTTTGTTGCTTTCTTTTCTTTCAATGCATCAACAATCACATCTGCAGTGAACTCAAGTCTTCTCACTGGCCATCTACTGTCAAGAGATGCTGCAATGTTAGAAAACTTTCTATACCTTGCTGATTTTTCCTTCCCCTCAGACTTGCTTGGTGAAGCATTTCTTATCAAGTATCTCGACGAAGAACATGCTCGTACGACAGGAGCAACATTTGGCTTCTCCTTAATTGAATTGCAGGACTTCACAGCAAGCATGAATCTGAAGAGGTCACGAATCGTGATCAAAGGAGCGTCGCTCAAACCTCTATAGCAAACAACCATCTGTTTCATTACATTGGATCTGCTGCTGTATCTGAAATCTTCAATCACCTGATCAAGTTCAATTGAGCTGAGCATTTCAATAGCTCTTTCATAATTGTGCTCCATTATCCCAAAACTTCCATGGCTAAATTTGTAATCCCATCGGCCAAACCATGTATGTCCATAGGCAACCCCATACAACAAACGTAAATCCATCGAATGCTTCTTCGATAGATCTTCAACAGTGATTTTCCTTCAAAAAAACAGATGAAAATATTTCAAGAACTCAACTAATACATTCAAAACCAGAATCTGATACATCAAATACTTTAGAGAAATGTTTATTACCGAGCTCTAAGATTAGTGCAAATGCGATCCCAAAGGTCCATAACTTCGCGGCCACAAAGAAATTTGGATCCACCTTCATTTCCATTAATGCAAATCAAATGCCCAAATCCATTACAATGAATCAAACCATGCAAAATGTGAGTTTGATCATCAAAAACACCATCATTAAGATGCTGGTTCCATTCACAGTCAGCTGGTATAATCAAATGGTATTTCCTCTTTGAAACAAAATGATGACTCCAACCTGAAAAATCACAAAATCCTCAAAAATCCTTAAACCCCAAAATTCAACTCCCAAAAATAAAATAAAGAAACCCAAAGTAAAAAACAGGAAATTTCCAAAACACAATTCACAAATAAATAGAATGACGGAAAGGGTGTTCAAATTCAAACTGAACGTACCAAAATTAAAATATCAAAAACACAAAAGATAATCCCAAAAAAAAAAAATCACAAAACAAAAAAACTGACCAAATTTCAAATCTGAAATAATTCCCGAAAACTTAAATTCAAACATCAATATAACCAAAAGGTGTTCAAATTCAAGATTTACGGGCACAACTAAAGTGATTAAAATCCATAAACCCCAAAACTCAAAATCTCCCGAAAATGAAGAAATGCTTGAAAAAATAAAAGAATTCATAAAACCCAACTTTCAAAAATAAGTAAATAACCAAAAGGTTGCTCAAAAACTCAAATCCTACCAGCATATAAATAACAAATCCCCNTCAATAAATAAATAAAAACCAAAAGAGTATTAAAATTTTCAAGAGTTACCAGCACATCTACAGTGATCACAAAAACTTCTACTATCATTATTCTTCACGTTTTCTTCAATGGTATAAAGAGGAATCGCAACGCCTCTGTTTTTATGCACTAAAAATGTACTCCAAATTTGCATTCCTTCTACTGTATACTCCTCAAGCTCAGCACACTGTTGAAGAAAATACCGAACGTTATCGCGAAACGGACCCGTTGGTTTAATTGGACAACCCGGATCAAGAAAACTATGAAAGCCATAGAAATTTGGTGTTCTTTTACTCTTCTTGTAAGCTTCAAAAATCTTCGTAGACATTTTTGCGAACTGAAATTTTTTTCTGATTTTGAGTTTTTTTCTCTGTTTTGAATTTTGTTTTGGGGGGTGGGTTTTTTTTTTTCGGGGG